TAGTTTTGGAATTTTTCCAATCCAAACTCAAACGAGCATCCAATCGATTTTAGGAGCCCAAGTAGGAACTTGTTAACAGCTATAGCCAAAATGAGCTCGGATTCCTGTCTAAAATGGTTTGTAGTCGTTTGTAGTACTCCCAGATTTTCAATGCACCGAGATAAAAGGGTGGTGTAGAGCTGAGATATGTAGAAGAATTCGTTTGTAGGTGTTTCTAATGGTGAAAAAAATCAAAAAGAAAAGAAGATCTTTATGAACCAACGTTCATACTCAATTGCAGTTTTGGAATTTTTCCAATCCAAACTCAAACGAGCATCCAATCGATTTTTGGAGCCCAAGTAGGAACTTGTTGACANCGAGTGGTGCACACTCAATTGTTGCTATTTACGTCTTGGCGATAATTGTCCCATTGTGAGAATAAAAAAATATCCTCTAATCCACGAACAGCTATTTACAGCAGAGAAGGCAATGTCACTCCGGCTGTAACTATGAAATACNTTGACAGATATAGCCAAAATGAGCTCGGATTCCTGTCTAAAATGGTTTGTTGTTGTTTGTAGTACTCATAGATTTTTAATACACCGAGAAAAAAGGGTGGTAGACAATTGAGATATGTAGTAGGATTGGTTTGTAGATATTTCTAACAGTGAAAAAAATCGATAAAAATTAAGAACCTTATAAATCAACGTTCCTAATTGATTGTAGTTTTGGAATTTTTCCAATCCGAACTGAAATGAGCGTTCAATCCGTTTTTGAAATACAGTTAGGAACTGTTTCATAGTTACAGCTGGAGTGACATTGGTTTCTCATCTGCAGTCGTTTGTAGTTGATTGTAGTTCTGGAAATTTCACGATCGGAATAGTAATAAACGTTCAATCGATTTTTTTTAAACAGTTAGGAACTATTTCATAGTTGTATTTGAAATGATGTGGGATTCTTATCTGCAATCGTTTGTAGTTGATTGTAGTTTTGGAATTTTCGCAATCGGAAATCAAACGAGCATGCAATCGATTTTTGGAGCCCAAGTAGGAACTGATTGAAAGCTATAGCCAAAATGAGCTCGGATTCAATTCAATTCAAAAATTCAATTGAACGGTCAGTCCAATTCGAATCGAAAAAAAAATCGATTCTACAATCAACTATAAAGGATTTCTTCCAAGTTTCAAAGGTCATTTTTTTTGCGATGATTTTTACGCTCTCTGTGCCTAAAAAATGGATTAAACGATCAGTTTCATTTTTATTAGAAAAATTCCAATCCTACAATTGACTACAAACGATTTCAGGCAGGAATCCACTTTTTTTTTAGCCATAGCTGTAGAATAGTTCCTATCTATTTCACAGCTATCAATCAGTTCCAACTTGTGCTCCGAAAATCGATTGGACGCTCATTTCAGTTCGGATTGGAAACATTCCAAAACTACAATCAAGTATGAACGTTGGTTCATAAGGATCTCCTTACCTTTCTAATTCTTTTCAGTTTCTAGAACAACTACAAACGGGATCTTCTACATGTCTCAACTCTCTACCACCCTTAGTTCTCGGTGCATTGATAATCTATAAGTACTACAATCA